AGGGCTATCATATCACCTCTTAACTGTCTCTTCACCAGGCTAAACATACCCAGTTTCTCAAGTCATTCCTCATAGGGCATGGTTTCCAGACCCTTCACCATTTTGGTTGCCCTCCTCTGAACTTGCTCCAGCTTGTCCACATCCTTTTTGAATTGTGGTGCCCAGAACGGGACACCATATTCCAGATGAGTCCTGATCAAAGCAGAATAGTATGGCACTATCACTTCCCTTGATGTAGACAATATATTTCTATTGTTGCAGCCTAGAATCACTTTGGCTCTTTTAGCTGCAGCATCACACTGTCGACTTATGTTCAACTTGTGGTCTACTAGGACTCAACATTAGGAAGATCCCTTTCACATGTTGTCTTGTTGAGCCAGGTGTTCCCCCCATCCTATATCTAAGCATTTCATTTTTTTTCTGCCTAAGTGCAGTACCTTAAATTTCTCTGTGTTGAGATGTCATGTAGAAGAGGAAGCAAGCTTATTTTCCATGCTTGAGAGGCTAGAATATGAATGCTGAGCAGGGATTCAAACCCTGGCTTTCAGAGCTGTAGTCCAGTGCTCAAACCATTACACCATACTGCCTTTCACCACATTGGCTCTGCTTTACCTGTAAGCATGCAGTGCACACAATTAATTAAGATAATTAAGAATTTTAAAAATGAAAAGGGGAAGAAAAATCAATCTTTTTATGAAATTTGTGCTTCCTTTTTAAAATTATTGGGGTGTCTGAACAGGATGTTTACGTGAGAACTTAGTCCTAGTCCTCACCCTGCTTGTTTTCGGATTCCACAAGTTTCCAGAAGAAGGTTTTAATGGGCAACGCCTGCATCACCGAAGAAGACTAGAAGTCATCTTCCCTTTGTACCCACCCTTTGTCTCCTTTAGCACTTGGGAAAGTTACTTTTTTAGACAGTACATCCCAGAAACTATGCTGGCCAGGGGATTTTAAGAGATATCTCCGCCTTGAGCTCCCATGTTTGGGAGGAAGGTGTAATATAAATAAATAAATAATAGCAATAAATAATAAATAATAGTAATATAGTTAAAAATACTCTAGGTGTTGACTTTTCCATGATTTCTTCCATCTTTCCCCCCTTATTACCATATATACTCTCTCTCTCTCTCTCTCTCTCTGTATATGTGTGTATGTGTGTATATGTATGCGTGTGTATATATATATATATAAGCCAGCACCTAGAATATTTGAACAGCAATAGCTGCACAATGCCTTTTGACTGGTAGTGTTAGGAATCCATCTTGAAATAAAAGCTGCTGCCACATTGCAAAATTAATGCAGTTTGACACCGTTTTAAATGTCATGGCTCCATCCTATGGGACCCTGGGGTTTGTAGTTTATTGTGGCACCAGAGCTCTCAAGGCTAAATAGCTCACAAAACTTCAAATCCTCAGAATTCCATAGCATTGCACCATGACAGTTAAAGTGGTGTCAAACTGCATTAATTCTGGAGTGCAGAGGCAGCTATGATCATCCCTTTATTATGCAGAGAACCATTCCAAAGTGTGTTCTGTCTTCCGCACTCTGAAGTTGAGCAGTCGGTTCTACCATGGGGTTTACTATTGGGGGAGGAAAGAGGACATTGCTCTCCCAAATAATGATTCTGTTCTCATCCATAAAATTTTCCTTCAGTCCCCAAATTTCTAATATTACAGAGAATGAGACATTCAAGATTGTCCACACTTGGGAGTCTGACATTTGCTGTGTTATCACATTCCCTCCATCACTTTGCCTGTCCCTTTTCTTTGGATGAGTAACTATATATTTCTCAATGCTCAACTAAAGTTTAAATTTGCTAGAAATGTAGGGGTTGAAAGAAAATTTCATTGGGAGGGGTGACATTTTTATTTGCTAGGGCAATGCAGTCATTTTGCCCATCCGTGGCTACATCCCTGTTCTGACATATTTAAAGAAATGCCAGTACTATTTAATTATTTTGCTTATGTACCAGTGCATTTGCTCTCTTGTCTCCTAGGGCAGCATTTTAAATATTTCTGAAGAAATCTGGGGTGGAGGAATGCTTTTTCCTGCTGTCAGCCATCCAGTTTTTATGTTTCAGCTGAAAATATTCTCACTTGGTCAAAAAAAAAAAAAAATAACAACAACAACCCTAAGACAAAACTATGTCATATTCCTCCTATCTGCAGAATGCTGCTTTTCCGTCCAAATGCTAGCAAAACCACATTCCACCATCCCATGATGAAGGGCTAAACCAAGCTAGAGAAAGAGATGCAATTACGGTAGATTGTTCTAAAAACACACACAAAACAGCTTTTTAAAGCTTTTAAAAAAATTTATACCATCTCTTGGATTCAAATTACAAGAAAAGAAATTCCACCTAAACATTAGGAAGAACTTTTCACTGTAAGAACTTTTTGAAAGTGGACTGCCTCGAAGCATGGTTGAGCCTCCTATTTTGGAGGTTTTTAAACAGTATGGAGTTTATCACATGGGGGAAATCCTGTGCAGAAACGGGGTTTTAAATTGAAAAAAACCTGCAAAAGTGTGCAGATTTTCAGACGACGTTGCTGTTAAAATGGGGTTAACCGGAACAGAAAGTAGTCAGAAAATGCTTCTTTTTACTCTTGGAAAATCCCAAAAGTAAAAAGAAGCAGTTTCTGACTACTTTCTGTTCGGGTTAACCCCATTTTAACAGCAATGTGTGTGAAAATCTGCCCGTTTTTGCGGGTTTCCCCCACCTTTTAAATCCCGTTTCTGCACGGGATTTCCCCCATGTGATAAACTCCTCAGTCAAATAAGTTTATCACATGGCACTTGCAGGAATGGGAACGGAACGGAACAGCATGGAACGGGGTGAGAACACATGTTATTGCACAGGAAAACGCCGCCAATGCTGTCGGGAGTCCCCAAGCTGTTCCCCAGCCGTTCCCAGAAGCCAATTTTGAAGAGCAGTTCAAAATTGTTCTTCAAAATCAGCTGCCATAGCACAGATGGGGAACAGTTTGGGGAATCCCGGCGGCATCAGTAGCATTCTCCTGTGCGGTAACACACATTCTCGTCCTGTTCCATGCCGTTCTGTTCCCATTCCTGCAAGAGCCGTGCAATAAACTTAAAAGATTTAAGATGAGGCATACCAATGGTCCAAAACACTCTGCAGAAATATTGGATCACAACTAGGATTCTGTTTATAAGAACTGTTTGAAAGGGGTTTTTAAAGAAGAAAATAAGAGAATTAGAATAGTTAAGATAATTTATTTTGAAGAGAGTGATAACATGATATAGTGTGTCCTTATTAAGCCATGGATTCTCAATTCCCATTAAATACAATGGCATAGCAAAATGGTGTCCCCTATATAAAATGGAAAATCAAGGTTTACTATTTGGAATTTATACCTTTTAAGAAATATATTCAAGCCGTGGATGCTTGAATCAATGGATAAAAAATCCATGGATAAGCAGGGCCAACTGTATGTATGTAAGAGATGCATTAAAAACGAATGGGAACTTTTATCATTCACCTGGGTGGTGGTATTTGGATTGCTAATAAGTGTTGAATTGTTTATATATTTTTATTCACATTATTTTTCATTATTTTTCTGTTTTTCTTTTTAATATATGTTTTGTATATTTTGATATATTTTTCTTTTACTTTATTTTTGGTATGAAATATGTTTATATTTCACTATCAATAATTAAAAAAACAACAGAGGTTCGATGGCCGTCTTTTAGAATTTATTTAGTTTTTTATTCCTGCATGGCAGGGGGTTGGATTTGATGGCCCTTGTGGGTCCTTCCAACTCTATAACTCTATAATTCTTGTTGTCATTGTATGCCTTCAAGTTAACTTATGGTGACCCTAAGATGGGCTTAATCAAGGGATTTTCTTGACAAGATTTTTTTCACAGGGGGTTTGCATTTGCCTTCCTCTGAGGCTGAGAGAATATGACTTGCCCAAGGTCACCCCGTGGGTTACCATGGCCGAGCATGGATTTGAACCCTCCTCTCCAGAGTTGTAGTCTAACACTCAAACCACTGCACCATGCTGCCTCTCAGTCTTCCAACTCTAAAATTCTATGCTGTAATTCTATTTATTATAAGTGAGTTTTAAGGCATAAAATGATCTTACTGTGATGGATATCCCAAAAGTGAGCCAGATTGGGCTAACTACTCTGAGACCTTAATTGGCAACATCTAATTTGTAAAATACAAAGTATCAAGGATTAGGAAGGAAGTCTTGCCTTTAAATCAGGGGCCCAATTCAATTTTTTTGTTGTTAACTGCCCTTGAGTTGATCTCGATCGACTCATGGCAGCCCTATGGATGAGACATCTCCGAGACCCTCTGTCCTTCACTGCTCTGCTTAATTCCTGCAAACCCTTAATACCCATAGTGACCTCTTTAATAGAGTCTAACCATCTGGCATGTGGCCTTCCTCTCTTCCAGCTTCCCTCCACCATCCCCAGCATTATTTTATTTTCTAAAGAATCCTCTCTTTTCATGATGTATCCGAAGTATGACAGTCTCAGTTTGGTCATCTTGGCTTCCAGGGAGGTTTCTGGCTTGACCTGCTCTAGGACCCATTTGTTTGATCTTTTGGCTATCCATGTCCATGGGATTCATTCATCATGCTATTATTCCACTTTTACTGCCATGGCATCCTGTGGAATCCTGGGGTTTGTAGGCACTAGAACTCTCTGGCTGAGAATTCTTAGTGCCCTTTCCAGGATGCCATGGCATGTTGCCATGCCAGTTGAAGTGGAATATAGCACTATTATTGCCTAGTGTGAATGGGCCTCCAGTACAACTTGTGAGTAGGGGTGCAAACTTCCCCATCACTTTCAGGACTCCTAAGTCCAAAACACACTGCAGAAATAATCCACTTTAACTGCCCTGGCTCAGTGATAGGGAATGTAGTTTATTCTGGCACCAGAGCTCTCTGGCAGAGAAGGCTCAATGTCTCACAAGATTATAGTTCCCAGAATTCCCTAGCATTGAACCAGGGCAGTTAAAGTGGTCTCAAACTGGGTATTTCTGCAGTGCATTTTGGACTCAGTGTGGTGTAGTAGTTTGAATGCTGGACTAGGACTCTTGGGCCCAGGGTTTGATTCCCAGCTTGGCCATAAAACCCACCTTGGGCAAGTCACATGCTCTCAGCCTCAGGGGAAGGCAATGGCAAACCTCCTCTGAACAAATCTTGCCAAGAAAACTCCATTATAGGCTCCCCTTAGGGTCACCATAAGTCAGAAATGACTTGAAGGCATGCAATAACAACAATGAAGGCTTTTAATAAGTGCATAGCAGAATACTGAAATGTGATAAATGTCTAATTGCAAACATCGAATTTACTTAAAAACAACAACACCCTGTAACAATGTTGTCTGATTGTTGTTGTTGTGTGTCTTCAAGTCTTTTCTGACCCTAAAGGGAACCCTATCATGAGTTTTTTCTAGGACTCAGAGCGTGTGACTTGCCCAAGGTCACCCAGTGTGTTTCATGGCCAAGCTGGGCATTGAACCCTGGTCTCCAGTGGTCTCTAGAGTCATAGTCCAACACTCAAACCATTATACCCACAGACTGGGCTAACTACACTGAGACCTTAATTGGCAGACCAAAGAAAGTCTGTTCTTTTGGTCAAGTCCCACTCTCTCAACCTCAGAAGATGCCCATGGCAAACCCCCTGCGAATATATATAGATAGATATATACATACACACACACATACACATTTATATATTGAAAATATATATTTGGGTGTGTATGAATGTGGGAAAGTCTGTTCTTTTGGTCAAGTCCCACTCTCTCAGCCTCAGAGGATGCCCACGGCAAACCCCCTGTGAATATATATAGATACACACACACACATATTGAAAATATATATTTGAGTTTGTATGATTGTGGGAAAGTCTGTTCTTTTAGTCAAGTCCCACTCTCTCAGCCTCAGAGGATGGCAATGGAAACCCCCTGTGAGTATATATATATATATATATATATATATATATATATATATACATATACACATACATTTATATATTGAAAATATATATTTGGGTGTGTATGAAAGTGGGAAAGTCTGTTCATTTGGTCAAGTCCCACTCTCTCAGCCTCAGAGGATGGCAATAGCAAACCCCTTTCTGAACAAACCTGCCAAGAAAACCCCAGGATAGAGTCACCAGAAGTTGGAAACGACTTGAGGGCACACAACAACAACAACAACAAAGAGTGTAATGAACCCCATGACAGGATCCCCTGAAGTCAGAAAGGACTTGAAGGCACCCGAGAGACAGACAGACCCGTCTCTGCCATGTCATGTAGGAATGCAGGGGAAAGCCTTTTTACTTCCCCAAGAGAAAGAGAGGACTAAATGGAAAGGAGAAAAAAGCCAACTTTTCCCCACACTCTTGGCGTCTCTCCCTTGCTGTTTGGGACAAACTTGGCCCCAGGAGCCCAGACTCTCTGAGGAGGGGAAAGAAACGTGTCTGAAGGCAAGGAGGAGTCCCTGTTCGTCTGAAAACACGCCTCAGGCTTTGCTGCCCTCCCATTTTGGCTGCGGAAAAGAAGAGGAGGAAGAAGGAGCAGCTGCGCCCAGGGCGCACAGAGGCGCACCTTTCGCCTCCTCCTCCTTCTCCTTTCCTCTTTCTTCCTTTCCTTCTTTCTTTCTTCTTTTCCTCCAGGAGCTCCAGGTTGGAGGGCGCCCTCAACCCTTTCCCTCTCACCTGGAGAAAGGGAAAGGAAAGGTGAAGAAGGAGCAGGCCACTACTTGTCCCTTTCTGGGTCTTTTCTCTCCTTTGGAAGGAATGAAGTGAAGCAGAAGCTGGGAGAGAGAAGAGCCACCTCCAGGTGCGTCCCAAAAGCTCTCCATCACACCCTCCAAGTTGCAGCGCTGGGACTGACTGGTTTGAAGCCTCCTTCTTTGGAGATTGCTTTGATTGAGAGTTCCTGCATGGCAGAATGGGGTTGGGCTGGATGGCCCTTGGGGTCTCTCTTCCAACTCTAGGATTCTGTGATCCCACCTTAAAGTAGGGCCAGTAAAGGGAGGGGGGGTGCTTGGGGGTGCGGACCACACCCGGTGACACCCTAAGATGGGGTGGTGTTTTCTGTATGGTGCGGTCTGGGGGGAGGTCATTAGTTACCGCATTGGGTGACGCCAACCCTAGTGATGCCGCCACCAAGTTACAGCACTACGATTCCACTTTAAACCAGTGGTGTCAATGGAGGGTGGCGGGTATGGACCACACCAGGTGAAATCCTAAAATGAGGTGACACCACTGCTCCCCAAACATCTGCCTTTGGGCAGAAAGGGGCTGTGGCATTCTCGCGTGTCCCATTAAAATGCCTTAAGAGATGGTGGAAATTGGGTGAGGCTCTGTAGGAGGAGAAAGGAGAGGCCTCATGTGGTTGTGTTTTTTTTTATCAAATTTCAAATTTTGAAAATTTTTAAATTTTAAAGATTTATTATTTTATTTATTTATTTTTTAAAAGTCTTTGAAGACATCAAAATTTTACCAAATGTTCACTTTAAGCACATGGAACTATGTCCGCAGATTTGACAATCCGCGGAGGGGCGATTGCCATTGAAGTGAAGGGGGCACACTCTGTTCACTCAATGGGGCTTAAATATACACAAGTCTCCTAACTCTCAGAGGGGTCCAGATCAGATCCCCCGCGGGTTAGGAGGGGAGACTGTATATGTAAATACATGTAAACTGTACATATGATGTTGTAGTTTAAAAGTACATTTTAATTGTGCCAGTGTTACCTTCCGTGACATACGGGAATGACAATTTATGAGTGACATGAGTACAAAACATATGACTAAGGATTCTGTATGGTGTGGTCTGGTAGGAGGTCAGTAGTTACCGCAACAGGTGACACCAAACCTAGTGATGCCGCCACCAAGTTATAGCACTATGATTCCACTTTAAACTAGTGGTGCCAATGTGGAGTGCTGGGGGTGGTATGGACTGCACCAGGTGACATCCTAAGATAGGGTGGCATCAGTGCTCCCCAAACATCTGCCTTTGGGCAGAAAGGGGCTATGGCATTTGCTTGTATCCCATTAAAATGCTGAAGAGGTTGGGTGAGTGGGGTGATGCTCAATGGGAGGAGAAAGGAGAGGCCCCAGGCTTTTTGTTTTTTTAATTAAAATTTCAAATTTCAAAATTTAATTTTTAAGAAAAAATAATTTAAAAATTATTTAAAAAACATCCCATTTTACCAAATTTTCACTTTAACTGCATGAAACTACATATACGTAAGGTGTAACACAGAACGAATAATGTTTGCGTCCATGATATCTTATTTTATTGTAATATTACATAACAGTAGTAAAAGGGAAATTTTTGACTGAAATATAAAAACAAACACTGTGTGGAATCTGACATGATGTCAATAAATTAGTATAATGCTATATAATATGCAATATGCAATAATATTGTAATATTGTAATATTATTGTAATATTGGTAAGAATAGTAAAGGGGAAACATTTGCCTGAAATATAAAAACCAACATTGTGCAGAATCTGAGATGATGTCAGTAAATTAGTATAATGCTATATAATATGCAATATGCAATATGCAATAATATTGTAATATTATTGTAATATTACATATCAACAGTAAAGGTGAAACAGTTGATTGAAATATAGAAAACAAACATTGTGCAGAATCTGAGATAATGTCAATAAATTAGTGCAATGCTATATAATAGGCTTAAGATCAGGAAGCTGCAATAAGAAAACTTGTGTTAAACGAAAAAGAAGAATGCATTTAATAAAGAAACTGTGTGTATGTAAGCACATTTATTCTGTGCGTATGATACTGTAAAGGCATAATTTTAGTTTTGCTGGTTGTTTGTATCACAACTATTGCCCTTACATTCAGAGATATATGGGAATTATGATTTATGGATAAAATCGTACAAAAAAACATTACTAAGGATTCTGTATGGTGTTTGATGGGAGGATATCAATGTGTGTGTGTGTGACACCATAAGTTACCACACCAGGTGACACCAACCATAGTGACACCATTGCTTTAAATTCCGAGGG